TGGAGCTTTGCCCTGCTGCTGCCTGATGCAACGAGCAGCCCTGGGAGCCCTGTCCCAGGCTCTGGGAACAGCTCCCTTCTTCCTCCTCCTGGAGACACCAGGGGTGTCCTGCTTCCTTCTGTCTGCACCAGCTCCAGGCTGCATGAAGAGACAGTGTACTGGAACTGGTGCTCGTTTGGCTTCAAGATACCTGCTTTTGTGTGGCCTCGTGCTTCTCTGCTGGGATTGTTTGAGGTGAGGTGAGTGGCCTGGAGACCACGCGTGACAAATGTGGGCAGGAGGACAGCATGCTAGCAACTCAGAAGGTAGCAGCCCTGCACCAGTACCCCAAGTTCACCCAGTTCACTTGGGAGGAGAGGAAGATACCCCATTCCCCAGGGAGGTTAATTCCCATCAAATTCCTGTAGACCTTAGGGCTGGAGGATACGCGGCTGCCGCCTGCTCTGCCTTCCCAGGCAGTGCCACTTCAGCTCCCCTCAGCCTCCTGTTCCTTGGCCGTACCCGGCATGCTGCTCCTGTGCAGCATCCTTTGATTTCTGCAGGGAAAGCCTTTGCCAGCAGAGAACGTGTCTGATTTTTTCTCGCTCCTCGGCAGCAGCTTTGGAGCTGTTGAGATCCCTGGGGACTGAGCTGGGCTTCAAACAGTCAGAGGAGCGGAGACCCAGTCTCCTGAGACGGCTGAGTGCAGCACAGCATCCGCTTTTTTTTTTTTTTTCTTTTTTTTTTTCTTCTTTTTTTTTTTTTTTTCCCCTACGATGCTATCAAGACGTTTCTCTGTATTTCTTTCTTTGCAAATCAGTAGAATGCAGCTGGCTTCCCTCCCGCTGTTGTCAGGGGCTGTTGGGGAAGGTGTTTTCATTTCGGCTCTTGAGTTGAAGAATAAAGGAGGAGGAGAAGGTGGGAGAGAGGCTGCCGGAGAAAAATATCAGAGAAGGGCATGGGAGAGTGGCTGCTCGCAGCTCACCTGTGGAGGGAATAACAGCAGGCAGCAGGGATACAGGATGCTGAGCACCAGGGATCCCAGCCTTGGTATCAGTACAAACCAGGATGGGGCTGATGAAGCTGGCTGGCTTTGGGGAGCCCCTGAAGTCTCGGACCTTCAGGCAGCGCATCCCTGTGGTACCAGCTTGATTTCTCCTGCACGGGTAAGGGGCTGGCTTTTGCCCCCTCCTGCGGTGTGCAGGCATCCGGCTGCACCAGTTCTGTGCCAAGCCCCCCAGGCTTTCCACCATCATTTTCTAGCCAGGCTCCTGACCCGGTCCCACGCTGCTCTGGAGCAGAATCCGGCCCCGTGCTGCCACAGCTTACAAGGCTGATGTATTAGTCCTATTCCCACTGAGCTCCTTCTTCGGGTTTGGCCTGTGATCATTAGGATAAAAAATACCCTTGGCACGAGCTGCCCTCCGCAGAAGTAATCCTTCCTCCCTGCTTGGCTCTGCTCCGGCTGCTGCCCTGCCAGATATCCCAGGCCCTCCTGCAGCGGTCTGCTTGTCCCAGCTCTGCTTTGTATGGCTCTAATGTCCACCCCAGGGGGATGGGATCCCTCAGCAGGGACCTTGCCTTCCCTGGGAGCTGGCTGCAGGTATGCTGCCACCCCTGCTGGGCCATCAGTTGTCTTGCTGTGCATGCAGGGTTACTACCCATGTGTCCCATACTTCTCTGCTCCTTGTGTACAATCTCCTCTAAGCTCCCTTTTTGCCTGCTTTTGCTGCTTGGGATGCACCAGACCCTCCTGCTCTGTCCCCATGTAGAAGAAAGGGAGCAGTGGCAGGGCACAGTGTCCCCTCCTGCCTCCCTACACCCAGTCCCAGTGTCCTGGGAGCAGAGCCTTCCCCCAAGGGGGTCCAGAGGGGATCTGAAGCCCCCCATCACACGCACACGCTCAGCTCTCCACAAACTTGTGGTGCCACTCCATAGCAGCTGCAGAGAGGGCTGGGTGAAACTCGGGAGTCATTAACTCAGCTGGAAGGATGAGCTAATGAGAGGAACCTTGCGAGCTTCTCTCCCTGCTCCTGCTTGCTCGGTGCATATTAATCTTCCCAGCCACATGTGCCAGCAGCATCCCCGGCAGCTGAGCGCACTGCTGCATGTTTGCTTTATGGGCCATTGTTCCTGTGTCCCAGACCTCTGCTTGACTTGCTGTAGTTCTTCCCAGTGAATTTGTTCCAAACCAGATGATTTAGTGGCACGCAGAGACCTGGAGATGGCACGGGGAGGCCGTGCACGTTAATGAAGTCCCTGTTAGTGCTCGTGTGCTGCTGCACGGGCAGAGGGAGGACGGGGTGTTTGGGCACAGCCCAATTCCCTGTCCCTTCTGGCACCAGGGTAGCCTGGTGGGGCTGAGCACAGTCTGTCCTGCAGGTCGTGAGGGTCTTCAGGGTAGGGATTTGTCTGGCTGGGCTGGGTGATGGCAAGTCAGCTGCTATAGGGTCATGCTAGCATTGCAGAAATGTAATTAATTCTGTGCACTAGCCAGGGAATAAAGGTGAGTTTGAGTATGGAGGCTGTAAAACCCTCCTGGGTGAACACATCTATCTCATCTTGAGCTTTGTGAGCAATCCCAGCTGTATACCTCCTAAAAACACTCCCATGGAGCCACAAATTCCTGCACAGCGGCTGTAAGGCTGTGGAGAGGCTCGCTTTTCTTAGTTAGGCTGGGAAATAGCTCACAGCACCCTCAAGATGCATTGACCCCAGGCTGTAAACCACTGACCTGCAGCTTACGGAGGAGAGAAACAAGAAGGCGAGGCAGCAATCCCCACACAGACGGGCTGTAAGCTCCAAAGGTGCCAGGGTGGGGTTTTAGTTTAAAAGCTGCTGCTGCTGTGAGCATCCCCGTGGGGCCAGCGGCCATCCCATCCCCATTGGGATGGGAAATGGGGTGAGGCTCAGCACGTGCTGATGCTGGGCTCCACGTGCACCTTGCCCCCGGCATGGCTTTCTGCTCCTCTTCTTACCATAAGTGTTTGGTTTCCCTTTAAAGGAGAACTTCAGAGGGGTGAGCTCTGGGAGCAGAAGTCAGTGTGGTTTGGGGCCGCCAGACCCCAAGCCCAATTAGCTCTGAGTGTGGAAGGACTCTGCTTTGTTCTCCGGCTCAGAGCAGAGCGAGTGCCTGGACCTCAGGAGCAGGACGTATTTAAATACTGCTGCTAATTGAAAGTATTCTAGCTCCATATTTCTCTTAAAAATTAACTCTTTTGGTTCAAAACGCCAAGCCAAGGCATGAGTTTCCTGTAGGCTATTAAAGCCATGTAAGTGTCAGTACCCACGAAAAGCGTGCTTGTTGCTCAAAAGTTAATGCCAAGCCAACAGCTCGGGAAGCATCTGAGACCTGGAATGAAATACAAAAACAGATTTTGGCAACGGTAATGGGCTCTCGAAGTGCAGAGAAAATGCTGTCAACGATGAGCTCAGTCAAATTTGAGAAGCTGTGAACCTGAAAAAGCAGAAAGGCTGCTTGCCATTTCTGTCCTAGCAGTGACATCCGACTGAGTGAGGTCCGCTCTTCTGAAAATCTGTGAGGATGCCAGAGCTACTGAGCCTAGCTCGTTCGCTGTGTCTGATGCTGCCCTTCATAAATTGTAGGGCTTTTAAACACGAGTGCATGTTGAGAGTGCTTTTTTGTCCTGTATCGAGGACAGGTAAGGCAGGCTAATAAAACCGAGTGCAGATTCTGAGTTTATACATATTTCAGTTAATTACCATCCAAATTAAAGCTTATTCAACTGATGAGTTTAAAAAAAAAATTAATCAGCTAGTGAATAAATGCAATATTAATCCTTTCAACACCAAAAAAAATTATAATCAGAAGAAATGTTAATTGCGTCATAACTCGAACAAGTGAGTTTGCCTTTCATGGACACGGGCAGACCCCAGCGTGGGGTGGTGCTGCCTGGTGGCTGCAAAGGGGCACTGGGCTGGGAGCAGGCACCCCAGGGCAGGGGGCAGAGGGTCTGGGGTCTCCTCGAAGCCCCCCAGCACAACACAGCCATGGTGGGGACAGGCAGAGCCCACACCGGGACTGCCAGCTGCCGGCGGCTCCGTGTTGCTAAGCGAAGAGAAGTTTTAACGCCTTGATTAATGCCCTGACTCTGGGTGAGTAATTAGAATTAATGTGGGATATCAAATCAGGAAATCAGGCATTATTAGGAGGAATTAGTGATTTATTTTCATTTTACGCCTGGCTCACCCCAATCCCCCAACACAGACGGGGGATTTGGCAAGAGACAAAGCTCCTTCCTCGCAGCGAAGGAAGGGAGAAAGAGGCAGCGATGGGGAGCAGGGCTGGCAGCAGAGCGCAGCGCTGAGTCCCCCTCTGCGTGGTTAATCACCGAGCTTCATCACAGCCTCCTGCGGACAGCAGAGGGACCATTGCCCACGGGATGCTTGGGGTCAGGGCAGTGCCGTGCACAGGTGGGCACGGGGACACCAACATCCCCGTACACAGGTGGGCATGGGGACACCAACCTGGTGCCTGGTGCGAGCCCTCCCGGCTGCAGCTGGCGCCTCAATCACTCCAGTAAGGAGCTGGTGCTCCTGCACGCCTCATTGCCTGTGCCTGAGAATGAATTTTAATTATACTGCCCGGGCGCCGTAAATCACTGGGGCAATTAAAATCCCCATTTGCACTGACTAATTGCGCCGCGGCATGGGTTGTGGCGGGACGTTCAGCCGCTTAGCTGAGGTGTGCGGAGGAGCGGGGTGGATTTCTGAGGGAGCGTGGCCAAGGGGTGAGGGCAGGGGATGGAGCCCACCCGCTGCTCCTGCTTCCCACTCCCCACCCTCAGAGGACTGCTCATTTTGGTGCCTGGTCAGAAAAAGCCCAAGGGAACCTCTGCTCTGTACGTCCCTCGCAGCTCTGGGAGCTTGAGGAGGTTTTGGCCTGGTAAGGAGGTAAAATGGCCCCGGAAAGCAACCCTCTGTACCCCAACCAGACCCTTCTACATTTTTTCTTCTCGGGCAAGGATTTTAAGCACTTTTTCCCACTTTTTCTTTCCAAGATTAAAATGCCATTGGTACGGTTCTTCCTACCCCCTGTAGCATCTCAGCGGTGCTTTGCATTACCTTTGATGTGCCTCACGTGCCGAGTGCCTCCCAGAGAGCAGCGGGGGAAGCTTCAAGAACGGTGTTCAATATGCACAAAGGCTGTCTCTGGAGAAGTTTATCTTCGTGCAAAAAGGTAAGAAACCTTTCTGCTTCTAATTATTTTGCGTCTATAAACAGGCCAAAAAAAAATATAGGAAAAAAAATCTCTTCTTTCTGCCCATCCACCAGAGAATGGGGGAAAACAAAGACTGGGTGTCCCTGGGCATTGCAGGTGGAGCTGAATGTTGGAGCTCACCTCTCACCTCCTACCTGGGGTTTGGGCCCAGCTGTTTGACCAAGGAAGTGGCTGATCCCCTGCTTGTGCACAAGGCAGAGGCCAGGCTCTGTCAAGGAGATGCCAAGAGAAACCAGCCCCTGCCCCAGCCCATGGTCCTGTGCAGAGAGGAACAGCTTTTTCTGGCTGGGTGTGAAGGCAGCGAGGGCTGGGGGGCTCAGGAGGCTCCAGCCCCTGATTGGGCTCATTCGCCATGCAGCTGGCACTCCCCGAGGAGGAGCACGCGACTGCAGAGCTGACTGCTAAAACGCATCCCGCTGCGAAGCATCGCACAGATTTGCATATAGTTCTTCATCAGAATTGAGACGTATTTGTTTAATTAGCACTGCTGTAACACCGGCTGGGCTGGAGGAGGTGCGGGTGAGCGGGCAGCTGGACCCCAGGCATGTCAGGAGAACAGGACGCAGCCATAGGGACAGCATCAAAGGGTTCCCTGTGTGGCATTGAGCAGCACAGTCAGCTCTCGGTGTGGCAGCAGGTCCAGCTGCAAAGCACGAAGCCCCTGCTTGGAGATGAGCAGGGCACCAAACGGGGCTGAGACATCCTCCCCGGGCAGCTGGAGGATGTGGGTGCTTCGCTTCGGTGCTGCCTGCAGCAGCTGGGTCACCTTGCCCTGAGGTTTTTGAGCAAAGAGCCAAGGTACGGCCCGTGAGCTCGGTGATGGATAGAGAGGCATTACATGGGACATGGGCCTGTCGTTATCTGGCTTTTTGGCACCACAGAGGGGTCCCCGTGCCCTCAGCTGGTGCCAGGCAGCACGGCAGAGGGCAGGCTTTGGCTCCGGCATCCTCAGCCACACAGCCTCCGTCGGGCAGGCAGATTGATAGGTGTCTGGCGGAAAACGTCCCGCTGATAGCCCGAGAACAAAACGCAAACAGGGAGAAATGACAGCTGCTCCTGTAGCTGTTCCATCATCGCTGCCGATAGCAGCACGGCGCCTGCAGCTCCGCGATTGATGCGTCCCCGGGGACACCGGGAGCGCGGATGCCACAATCAGGGAGGATAAAAGAATCGCTGCTGGGACCCAGAGGAGGCTTCGGATCCTTATCGGGAACAAGAAGGACATCAATCTGGTGCCAGCACGGGCCTGTCAGGCGCAGCCCGCACACTCAGCACTGGTAGGACACAGCCCTTGCAGTGGTGTGGAGCAGCTCCTAATGCCATGTAAAGGACTCTGATTAGTTTAAAGCAAAGCCTGGTAGCAGTTTCCAACAGCGTCTCGAGGAAATTGCATCGTGACCATTTCAATCTCCACTGCTGCTGCCCTCTGGAGAGCGCAGGCAATATTTCTCTCTCCGTTGGAACAAGTCGGTCCCTTTGACTTTTGTTTGCGCTCACCCTTCAGCTGATGTAGGGCCGCTTAGCAGGCGAGGAGGTGTTTGGGAGCCAGCCTCCCCTGCGCTCAGAGCACACAGCTCACCCTCCGTGTCCCTAACTGGTGGCTCTGTTGCTCCTGGTGGCTGCCAGCACTGCTCCCCAGCAGCCCCACGCATTGGGGACATCAGTGCTGCTGTCACCCACACTTTTCCTGCTGGGGAGCTGCAGCAGGAGCGTGGGGCAGCAGCAAGCCTGTGCCCAGGCAGGCAGGAGAGGTGCCTGCGTGGGATCTGGGCAAGGCTGCCCAAAGGTGCCCTCCCTGCCTGCTCCCCGCTTGCGCTCATCAGCTGTGACTCCTGGCAGGAGAGCTCCATCCGAGAGCGGGCCGGGAGCCACGGGCAGGTAATTGCTAAAGCAAGCAGGGCCACGTTAATTGAGGTGACGGCAGCCAGCAATGTGCTCTCAGTTAAGCCTTGGCTCTGCCGCAGCCGGTGGGCAGGCACCGCGTGTCCCTGCCGTCCCCTCCCGTGCTGTGCCCTGCTGTCGGCTCCGTGGCCAGGGGACACGCTCCTCGCCGGCCACCCCTGCACCTTGTGGCACGAGGCAGCGTCTTGGGGACCCCCGTGCCATGGGGGACCCGTGGAGCCAGGGCTGGCCCCGTGTCGGGGAGCAGGGAGGGGTGGGATGCGGCTGTTATGGCAACAGAGGCTCCGGAGATGAAGGGAAGGAAAAAGGCATGCTTTAAAGCACGTTTCCATGGCAACAACCATCTTCAAAGGCCTGGGTGAAAAAAATAAATAAAATAATTGGTAAAAAGAGGAGGTTTCCGTAGAGGGGGCACCTCTGTGGTGCTGGGGGAGTCAGACCGGGAGCGTGGGGCCTCCTGAGAGGGGATGGGAGCTGGCAGAGAGGAGGGAGCAGAGCTGTGGGGTTTGGGGATGGTGTGGTGCCCCCTTCCTCACCCACATTTTGGTTTTGCGGCTGGGGCTGTGCTCTGTACACCACAGGCTCCATCCTGCACACCACAGAGCACGGTTTTGGCCCCAACCACCGCCCTCACAGCCTCATCACTCCCACCACATCATTTTGGGTTGTCCGAGCCCCCAGGTGAACCTGTCTTTGCTCACCTAGCCCCACTCACTGTCCCAAAAGCCCAGCTCTGCCATCACAACCTGCTCCCTGCACTGGGGCACAGCTGGCAGCCTTCTTGCTGCCCGTAGCCTGCAGTGCTGATAGCCACAGGTGGACCAAAGCCACTGCTTTGTCAGGGGAGTTTTTGTTTGGTCAGATATCGGGGTGGGGAGAGGAAATCTCCAGGGCCTTGCCTGGAGCTGGGTTTCAGCAGCCCCAGGGGGTGAGGCCTGACCTAAATTCAGCAGCAAGGTTTCTTGCAGTGGAGGGGGGGGGGGGGAAACAAGCCTTGCAAGGGGGAAGCTTGGATTGAATTAAATCTGGATCGAATCGCAGCCGTCTCCTCTGTGTTTCTTTAATTGGAAGTTCAGATTCGGTTTATTGTTCCCAGCTCCGTCGTTCTCAGTTTCCGATGTGCCGCAGGATTTGCTGTCTCAATCAGCTGCGATGGTCGTGCAGGGAAATTTGGGCTGCTGAGGTTTCTGGAAGTTGGGAAATGAGGATGTTTCGTTGGGTTTCAGAGTTAGGGCTCAGCGAAGGTGAGTGGAAGGGCCCTGACTCCGGCTGCTGCTTTCACTGCCTTTGGAAGGGATTCACTGGCCTGGTTTATTTTGGGTTATTGCAGTGGTGCTCGGGGCATAAAGAAGGCGGCTTCAGCAAGTTCCTTTCTTGGGTAACAAGAAAATATCCAGGGCTCGGTGACGACAAGCCGAACGGGTCCGCACGCATGTGCATTTTGCTCCCCTAACCTCCGGAGGGTTAGAGCAGTGATATGCTTAATCCTGGGTGTTTGGCCAACTCTCAACTTTGTTAGGCAGCTCCCCGGAGGAGGAACAAAGCTGCTCACATATGTACAGGTCTGAGCCGCTGGCTGCGCTCCAGAAACTGCTCCTCTCTGCTGCTGGAGAAGCTGTGTTTGTGCTGATCCAGGCGCATCCCCTGGAGGGATTAATGCTCGGCACACCTGACCTGGCACAGGCAGAGAAAGGGAATTGCTGCTCTTCCCTGAGGAGTGCCAGTGGGCTCTCTGTTGGCTTCAGGCATGGTCAGGGGGAAAGCTGGGAGCCTTCTGGTGTCGTCCCGTGCTCCTGGGCAAGCTGGGGCTGCTGAGTGAGGTCTCAGGTCCCCCTCCACCCCCTGCCCCAGCACACAGCTCAGCCAGGCTGCAAGATACGGGGATGGACACAGGCAGGAGGGAAACAAAGCTGGAGCATCTTTGGTGTGTGCTTCATGACGGGGCATCCCATCACCATCCCATCCACTGTCCCGTTCAGCACCCCTATGGGAAATGCCTCTTCTCTGCTGGATTGACTGTTCTTTATTATTATTATTTGTTTGGTTTTCTTTTTTTTTGTTGTTGGTTGATGGGAGATTTTTTCATTTCCAGGGAAATGGTGTTGCTGCTCCATAAATAACGTGTGTTACTAACTATACTGACAAGCATCCTGCAGGGGCTGCCGTGCCCAAACTGGATTCAGGGATTTCGGTCCAAGTGAGCACCTGGAGGAGGCAGGTGGGGTTTCAGAGCCTGGTTTGAGGCAGCCACTTGGCCACCAAGGATGGCATCAGCCACAGCTCCTGGCTCGGTCCCCAGCCTGAAAAGCCAACTTCAGCCCAACCACGGAGAACGGAGCCAAAGCAAAGAGAAAGCGGAGTCACCCTTTGGTTTCCCTGTCTGACCTAGCCTTAAAAACTCAATTTGAAGGCGGCATTAGGGAAGTAAGATATCGTTTATCAGGAGCGACAGATCCAATCTATAAATTAGCATGCTCAGCCTGGGAGTCAGGAGGCAGAGATATCTATCAATTTCTCCCTGGCAGGCTGACACAGGCACACAAATTTGGCCAATTCCCCAGAGCAGCATCTGGTCTCCAGCAGGTCTGAGGGCCCAGAAGTGCTCGGAGGGCAGTGCCAGGGACAGGGACATTATATGGGAGAGCCCTGGAGATGAGCACAGCTCCCGGCCCCCTGCTCTTCTCTACCCCATCATCCTCCATTGTGTGGGCGCAAGAGGCCCCCAGCAAAATGGGGTTTGCTTCTCAGCCCCAAGGCGTGGTGAGATTTTAACTGCTCCATCAAGGCGTTCAGCATACGAGGAGCTGCAGAACTGCTGCAGTCCATTAGGGAAAAGCTGGCTATTTCAGGATCTACATCTACACAGCTCGCCTCCACCCTCTGAAAAGAAAGGCTGTAATATTTGTAGGACCTACACAAACATAGCCGTAGATGTACACAAGCTGCTGTCTCTGTGATCTGGGGTTTTAGGGCTGCTCCCAGCCCCTGGTGACTTTTGACGATAAGTGGCATGACTGCAGCAAAGGACAAGCAAATGAGGCTATTAAGAAGCCTGTCAAGAGGCGTGTGTCTCCCTGAATCCCTTTTCCACATAAAAAAGTACCGAGGCTGAGACAAATTGCCATACACACCTACTGCTGGTGCTCTCACCCGCTGCATGCTGTGCCCGAGCAGCTGGGGGCTCCCCATTGAACTCCCCATTTCGTGATTTTGCCCAAACCTGCATGTCCCACCACCAATTTCCACCCGATTCCCACCACCAGGAGCAGCATGGAGTGTGCTGCCACCATGGACCCCTTTCCCCAGGGAAGCACAGAGGGAAATGAGGGGAAATGGGGCTAAACAGTAAGCTGGAGCCCTGCAGGGGGGGCAGCTGTGGGGACAGCTCCTGGCAGGGGAAACAGCACCAAAATGGGGGTAGGGGAAGCTCAAACGGTGCCACCAGCAAGCCTGTTAAGGGCCTCATAAATAAAAGCCCATATAGACAGCAGGTACTGCAAGGCTTTATAGGGCCATAAAACACCCCCAGCTGCCACCAGGGCTGGAAGGGATGGGTAGGGAATCTAATTTCCCAGGATTTAAAGCAGGTGAGAGAGATATAAATGTGTGTTTTTAATAGTAATTAATGCTGCCATTCAGCAGCACTTAAGCTCTCGGTTCGGAGCGTTTCCAAGGGGCTGCCTCATAAATCACAGCCCCGGAGAGCCGGGACAGGCGGGATGCTGCTGGCTGCCAGGGCCGGGGGACAGCTTGTGGGGTCCCAGGGGTGCTCAGGTCACCTGTGGGACTAAGGGACACGCTGGTCACCCCCGGCTGGGCACTGCAGCGCTTGGTGTGACCCTAAAAGTGACTTTGCATCGCCTTTGCTGCGAGGGGGAGGCGATGCGGGACGGCAAGAGGAGGGCTCCAGCCCCCTAGTCCTGCCCAGGCCAGGCAGGGAAAGCCCCAAAAGCGTGCCAGCCCTGCCCCCTAGTGTCCCCAGCGCCAAGTGTCGCCAACATCGATGCTCGGCCTCTTCGGGTCTCCCGTGCGGCTGGGAAAAGGGATTCGTGCCGCCTCCCCGCCGGGATGCACCGACACCCCAGTTTTAGCAGCCAGGCTGCGGGTATTCAGCCCAATTGCTGCCTTTCAAGTAGGTCAAGTAAGTTAGGGAGGAAAGGGAGAGCTTTCCCGGGGAGTTTCTGCCTTATTTTAAAAGGTTTTGGTGTTGAGATGGGGAAGGATTGGGAAATGCACAGGAGTGCTGCTGCCCACCCAGGAGCGTGGGCACTTCTGGGGACATGGGCACAAGGACACTGCCATGACATCCAGTTTTCCCAGTGCCTACAGCCCAGCAAAGCTGGGTCCCAAGCTAGTGGTAGCTGTTTTGAAAGCACTTGGGGAACTTGAAGCGGCGCTCTCTTAAAGCAGGAACAATCCTGGGCTGGTTCTTGGTGACGTGGTGCCACGTTAATGTGCAACCAGGCAGGAAAATGCCCAGGCCTTGTGTGCACAAGGAGGTCAGTCACTGCTGCTGTAGCGTAATAAACGCGTTCTATAAGGAAGTTAAATGTATTGAACTTCTCAAAAACTAGGTTAAAATGTAACTTCATCAGCCTGGAAGCGCGTGCTTGTAAAAACATCAGCGAAGTCGTAACAGGATCCAGAGACTGAAATCTTGAACCCAGCAAGTCCAAGCATGGAGCAGTGTGTGCTATTAGAGGGAAACAAACAGCCGCTGGAGTCATATTGCTAGTGTCCCACCGAATTTAGTATTCCTGGACGTATTTTTAGACAAGATTGATTTTTTTTTTTTTTTTCCCCCTAAAAGATGAGCTTTCATTCAAGCAGGAGTTAATTCAGGAAAGCCCAAGGCTGGTGCTGTGCCAGAGGCCAGCCTGCATTGCCACAATGGCTCCAGCTCACATGATAACCTATTAATTACCACCTTTCCTTAGAAATCTCTTGTGCCCCGAAGCAGAGCATCCCTTGAGGCAGGCAGGCAGGCCAGCTATGGCACAGTAACTCTGCCAGACAGCTTTTCCACCCAGGCAAGCCTTTACTCAAAGCACTTGTCAAAACCATTGCCATCCCTGCAGACGAGCTCTGCCTAGGGAGATTGACCAGCGCAACTATCACAGAACTACGTGATTATCTGCAAATAAATCACTTTTATTTTGGAAAACACTGTCAGCATCAGGGAATTATATTGTCAGGGCTGAGATAGCTATTCTGGTCAATTTTCCCACGTAGACGTGCCATACATGTATTATAAGTCTGGAGAATAATCTCCCAAGAGAAGCAATGAACATTTTATTGATTGGGATATTTCAAACTTGCGCAGGACAAAGCAATCTTCTATGTGCTGAACGAGCAGACGAGATGGGATTGAGGGTTGGGGATTCATTTTTCCATTTCTAATTTCTGTGTTTAGTTTAGAGAAGATATTTTGAACAACACGAGCAAGTTGAGGAGAAAAACTGTTCTCCGTCTGGCTCTGATGGGGTCATATTTGCAACATTATTGGGGGAAAGAGGTAATTTCTTTCAAATTCAAAATGCATGTGCGATGCTGAAGCCATGTATGTGTGTAAGGGGCCTTTGGGACCTCTAGAACCAAGCCAGGCTCTTCCTGGTCAGAAATTTCCAGCACACCACTGTGGAATCTGGTATTAACTTTATTTTATTTTGTTAATTTTGTTAATTTATTTTGTCCTGTTCAGCAGTTTGAATCTGTAACATGCTAGAGAGTTTGGTAGGGAAAACACTCCTTTGTTATAAAACACTGTCTAGAGAAGGGTTGACGCTTTGGCCTGTGAGTATGGGCAGATGGGTCTTTTACACCCAGAATAATGACTT